AAAAAAAAAAAAGCTAGAGTAAGATCAATGCAAACAAATTATTAAAGAAATCCAATGCAACTGATCAAGAAAGCTCACGTGGTGGCGCAGTACGGAGTCCAAAGTCCTGCAAGCCTCTCATCCGAGGTAGCACGCCAGCACTATCATCATCCCCACTGAGTTGAGTTTCCTCCTTAACCATCTTTACATACATATTCTGATTTGTTCTATTCTTCTCAGCAATAGACAAGTCAACCTTCTGTGATAGCTGATCCAATCTGGAATCGTTTTGGTTTCCACTTCCATTACCCAAGTATATCGAAGAAGTAACAGCATCTGGTGAACTTCTGCTCCTACCATTAGAAGAATTTCCCAATTTCCCATATTTCTTCTCCAATAATTGCCTCTCGAGTTCAAGTGCATGCATTATAGCATCTTCGCGGCGTGCATATTTCTCTCTTTTCTTGGGTGGCATTCCCTGAGCAGCTTCAGCCTTTTCTATACAGTCATCAAACTCGCCACATCTGAACGCCTTTACACGTTTTGACTTCTCCAAATTGTACCAATCCCTGGTAATATGAATAGCCAGTTGTCAGAAAGATCATACAAAAGCGCAATCTGGGCAATGAATTAAAAAATATACACACTTCTTGCACATTTAACTAAAATAGTGAGAGAATTCTACAACATAACTAAACAAAAATTTATCAGATGCATTTGATGCAATGACCGTAATGTAAGAAAATACAAACCAGCTCACAAGCAGCAGATCCTAAGTACTCCTAATTTTCATATGTGTTGGGCAAAATTATAGAGTAACAGGAATTCCCAGTCTGGAGTTCGTGAAGCTTTAATCTCATGCAAAGTGCCATACAAGCCATTCATGTAAAGCATATTTGACATAAAAGTCATTAACAAACTTAAAAGTTGGGTCAGTTAACATAAAACATTTAATTGCAATACAGAACATGCAGGAGTTCTTTCATGAAGACATGACAGCAGATAAATTGATTCTAATAAGTTCCCTACAAAGTCAAGCAAATTTCCACCAACTTCTTGTTCATAGAGATACACAGTCGCCTTCATAGCACAGCAACACAGCAAATCATCCAACATGAGCCTCGACTGACCTTTCTATCTAAATAAATTGTTTCACTAGCATCATGCTCAAAATGTACAAAATACAAAAAAAAAAAAAAAAAA